GGCGGCTGTGCCGCTTGGGACAACTTCTGCTGCGTCTGCGACGCCTCCGACACGGAAAGAGATGGCGTTAACCACTGCGAAGCCTCCGACACGGAAAGAGAAGTCAAAATCTGGGACGCCTCTGGCACGGAATGACATGGTGTCGTCCGTCGCACGCCAGGCAGCCGCGTCGCCTCGGACACGGGAAGAGATGACGTCGTCGTTTGCTCACCAGGCGCTCGTGCCCCCTGGGACACCATCTGCTGCGTCTGCGAGGCCTTCGACACGGAGCAGCGACCACTGATAATCTGCTGCATGTGGGACGCCTCGGACACGGAAAGAGATGGCATTGTACTTTGCTCACTAGGCGGCCGTGCCGCCTGGGACACCTTCTGCTGCGTCTGCGACGCCTCCGACACGGAAAGAGATGGCGTTAACCACTGTGAAGCCTCCGACGCGGAATGACATGGTGTCGTCCGTCGCTCGCCAGGCAGCCGTGTCGCCTCGGGCACGGGAAGGGATGCCGCCACGGTCTGGGAGGCCTCCGGCACCGACAGGCATCGCGTCGCAGGTAGCTCGTCGGGCAGCCGTGCCGCCTGCCGCGACTGCGAGTCCTCCGAGACGGCAAGGGAGGACGCCACGAGCTCGCGGGGAAGCCCCACCGCCTCGGGGCCGTCCGGCCCACCCGCGCAGGCTGGGATCGGGGCGCTCACGCGGGCGGCGGCCATCTGCCCGGCGACGGCCTGCACCTCCTCTGCGCCACGGGAACATGTACACAGACACCCTCCGACGAATGTTGCATGTACCTTCAGGGAGAGCGGCGTTGGGTCGCAGTGGTGATTCATGCACCGCCACCCTCCCCTGAGTCCCAAGAACAATCCATCAGAGGGTGCTTGAATCCATATATACCTATACATATGTATATATACGCAAAGTCACCTACATACTTACATAAAGGCATACATACGTTACTACATGCATACATACATACATACATACATACATACATACATACATACCTACCTACCTACCTACCTACCTACCTACATACATACATACATACATACACACATGCCTACATATGTACATACCTACATACCTACATACCTACATACCTACATACCTACATACCTACATACCTACATACCTACATACCTACATACATACATACATACATACATACATGCCTACATGCCTACATACCTACATACATACATACATACATACATACATACATACATACATACATATGTACATACATACATACATACATACATACATACATACATACATACATACATACATACATACATGCATACATACATACATACATACACATACATACATGAATGCTTGCATGCATGCATGCATGCATGCATGCGTGCATGCATGCATACGTACATACGTACACACAGACGGACAGACAGAGAGACAGGCAGACAGACCCGTATTACATACATGCATACATATAGACATGCATGCATACATGCATACGTACATACATGGTTGCATGCATACATACACACATACCTACATACATATATATATATATATATACATACTGGAACAATCGCGCGCGTTCGCGCGCGCTCAGGTTCTAGCAGGCCCCAGGCCTTGACGAATTCACTGCTCCACTGAAGTAGTGGACCACAGTACACGCATTCCAACCTGCATTCCGAAAAGGCCTTCGAGGAAGATGGTTGCGTAGAGGGGGGCGGAGGCCGTATGAATCGGGTTCCCAGAAGGCCTTCTGGGAGCATGGGTTTGGGGGCGTCTTGGGGAGCCTGTTGGTGCGTGCCGTCGTCGTCGTCGTCGTCGTCGTCGTCGTCGTCGTCGTCGTCGTCGTCGTCGTAATGTCGTCGTCGTCGTCGATTCAAGAGGGCAGTTGAGGCAACTTTGTGCGAAACGATCTGCGGAGGGCCGCGAGAAGGCGATCAGTCATGTTCCCAATCAGCTTCCCAGACAGCTCTCCTGTAGCATGATGGTACTTCGAAGCCTCCGGAGACTCGCGGGCCCATGATGAACCATGTCCCCGGAAGGCCTTCTGGGGACATGGTTTGTTGGGGTGTGTTGGGGGGTCTCGTGGGCGTTCGCTGGGGATCCCTTGGGGGCCCCCGGGAATTCTCGGGCCCATGATGAACCATGTCCCCGGAAGGTTTTCTGGGGACATGATTTCTTGGGGTGTGTTGGGGGGCCTCTTAGGCGTTCCCTGGGAGCCCCTTGGGGGTCTCTTGGGGCTTCCTGGGGGCCTCTTGGGCGCCTCACGGGGCTTCGTGGGAGCCTCTTGGTGGTCTCCGGGGGCCTACAGGCGGCCTAGGGCCAGAGACCTCGAAATATCGGTTGGCGGTCCCCCTCTGGGCCCTCTCTTGGGGAACTCTTGGGGCACAGTTGGGTTGTCTGGGGAGCCTCCTGGGCCGTCTTGGGGCCCTCGTCGGGGCTTCGTGGCCCCAAGGCCGTGAGGGAGCGCTGGGAAGCGGGGAAAGCGAGAACGCCTAAAAATTCAAAAACCATCGGAAAATTAGCGAATCTTGCCTCCCATGGCCCTCTTGGAGAGCCTCTTGAGTCCGTCCTGGAGAGTCCTCGTCGGCCGTCTACGGCAGCTTGGGCGTCTTCGGGGCCTCTTGGGACCGTCTAGGGCCCTCTCGGGACCTCCATTAGCCTGTCGTGGCCTGCTTCGGGGCGGGCCCGGGCCGCCTCGGGACCCCTCTGGGCCTTCTCTTGGCGCGCTCTTGGGGCACACTTGGGTTGTCTGGGGAGCATCCTGGGCCGTCTTGGGGCCCTCGTCGGGGCCTCGTGGGCCTTTTTGGAGCGATCTGAAGGGCCTCCGAGGCCGTGAGGAAGCGCTGGAAAGCGAGAAGAGCGAGAACGCCAAAATCCAAAACACTCGGAATATGAGTGAATCTTGCCTTCCAGGGCCTTCTTGGGGAGCCTCTTGAGTCCGTCGTCGAGCGTGTTGGAGTCCTCGTCGGCTGTCTTGAGGGCATCTTGGGCGTCTTCGGGGCCTCGTGGGACCGTCTTAGGCCCTCTCGGGACCCCCTTAGCCTGTCGTGGCCTGCTTCGGGGCGGGCTCAGGCCGCCTCGGGAGCTCTGGATCCCCCCCCCGAACCCCCCGGTGGGCATCGATGGGGGGAACAGGCAGCGGCCCGCCCACCCACCCCCAGGCCTACTCCGAGATAGAGAATCATGTTCCCGGGAAGCTCTCCGGGAGCATACTATTTGTGCGGCTCTCTACGATTTACCGAAGTGTGGGGGCCCGCAGGGGGCTTCCCTGGGGGCCCCTTGGGGGCCTATTGGGGCTTTCGGGGGGCCTCTTGGGAGCCTCACGGGGCTTCTTGGGAGCCACTTGATGGCCTCCGGGGGCGTCCTAGGAGCCTCTCAGGCCGGAGACCTTGAAATGTCGCGCTCTTCGGGCCCTCTTGGGTCGCTCTTGGAGCTCTCTTGTGGCGCTCTCGAGGCCCTCTTGACTCATCTGGGGAGCCTCCTGGGCCGTCTCTGGGCTTTCTTGGGAGCCCCTGTTCGGCCGTCTTGGAGAGATCTGAAGGGCCTCTGACGCGGTCCGGGACCGCGGGGAGATGGAACATGGGAGAGCGCAAAAATGCTTCAAAAACCATTGGAAAATGCATAATTTTCGGCTTCGGGGCGTTTTGGCGGCGTCGTCGGCCGTCCTGAGGCCATCTTCGGCGTGTCCGGGGCCTCTGGGGGCTGTCTTTGGGCGTCCTGGGAACCCGGAAATCATGTTCCCAGAAAGGCTTCCGGGAACATGATTTCGAACGGGGCCCTCTTGGGCCTCCCTGAGGCCGTCTTGGGGGCCTCCTGGGCCGGCTTTGGGGCCTCTTGGGCCGTCTTGGGGGGTTCCGTCAGCCCCACAGGACTACCCTTTTGGGCCGTCTGGGGCCCTCTTGGGTCTCTCTTGGGCTGTGTTGGAGCTCCGCGGGGGCGTCTGGGGCACTGCGAAGAGGAAGCAAGGGCGTATGCCGAAAATGCACGCTTTACGCGGGAAATGGGCCGATTTGTGCCTCTTGAAGGCCATCTTGGGGCCCTCTTCGGCCATCGCCAAGCCATCTCGGGGCCTCGCTGAGGCTGTCCTGGGGCTCAGTAGGGGGCCCTGGGAGCCCTGAAGTAATGTTCCCGGAGAGGCTTCCGGGAACATGATTTCGAACGGGGCCCTCTTGGGCCTCCCTGAAGCCGTCTTGGGGGCCTCCTGGGCCGGCTTCGGGGCTCTTGGGCCGCCTTGGGGGGGTTCCGTGAGCCCCACAGGCCGACCCTCTTGGGTCTCTCTTGGGCTGTGTTGGGGCTCCGCGAGGGCGTCTGGGGCACTGTGAAGACGAAGCCAGCGAGCGTGCCGAAAATGCACGTTTTACGCGGGAAATGGGCCGATTTGTGCCTCTTGAAGGCCCTCTTGGGGCCCTCACGGGCCCTGTTGGGGCGCTCTTGGGCGTCTTCGGGGCCTCTTCAAGCTTTCGTGACCATCTGTACGGCCCGCGTGGCCTGTCGTGGGCTATTTGGAAGCGGCCCAGGGCAGTCCCGGGGGGTCTGCGACCCCCGAAAGGTTCGGGGGGGCCGCCATGGGGGATGACGGCACCGATTTTGCCCCCCCCCCCCTGGCCTACTCTCATATAATATATATATAATATATATATATATATATATATATATATATATATATATATAGGTGTGTGTGGGTGTGTGTATGTTCAGTGTTCATACATGCATGCATACATGCATGCATACATACATACACTTACAGACACTCATACCGGCATATATACATACATACATGCATGCATGCATGCATACATACATACATTCATACATACATTACAATACGTTACATCACAATACATTACATTACAATACATTACATTAAATTACAGTACATTACATTACATTACATTACATTACATTACTTCACATTGCAATGCTTTACAACACATTACATTACATTACATTAAATTACATTACATCGCAATACATTACATTACAATACATTACATTACATATAGACAGACATACAGACATACAAACATACATACAGACAGACAGGCAGACAGACGTACATACATACATACATACATACACACACATACATACATACATCCATACATAAATACATACATACATACATACATACATACATATATACATACATACATACATACATACATACATACATACATACATACATACATACATGTATACAGACATGCATGCCTACACGAATGCATGCATGCGTGCATACATACATATCACACATACATACATGCGTGAAAGCAAGCATAGATGCATACATTCGCTACTAAACATAGATGCATATACACATACGTATGTATGCATGTATGTGTGTATGCGTGTGTATATATATATATACATATGTGTGTATGTCTGTCTGTGTGTGTCTGTCTGTCTGTCTGACCGGCTGGTTGTCTGCCTGCCTGTATGTATGCAGTCATGCATGTTTGTATGTATGTATGTCATGCATGCATGCATGCGTGTATGTATGCATGTATGTATGGATGCATGCATGCATGCGTCCATGTATGTATATATGTAAATATGTTTGTGTGTATGTGTGTATGTACGTATGCATGTATGTATACCTATACCTATATATACATATATACCTATAATATATATATATATGTATATATAAGCGGGTCCTCCTTGTCGGAAGGAACGACGGGCCCGCACTTCCACGGCTTGCCGCTCTCTTGCAAGGACTGCGAGGCCTCCGCGTCGGGGAGGGAGGGCGCCATGAGCTCCCCGGGAAGCCGCATTGCCTCGGGGCCGTCCGGCCCGCCCGCGCAGGCTCGGGTCGGAGAGACCACGCCAGCGGCGGCTATCTGCCCGAAGGTGGCGTGCACATCCTCCCTGTCGGAGGGATCTACGGGCCCGAACTTCCACAGCCTGCCGTTCTCCTCCTCGAACTCGGAGACGATGCCCTGCCACTCGCGGGCGTGGGCCTGGCAGACCTCGGGAGGACTCCCGGCCTCGCCGAGGCGGCAGAGCAGCACGGCGCGAAGAGGGCGCAGCCTCGTCGGGAACCTGGTGCGGAGGAGCTCGATCAACTCCTTCAGGGCCCTCAGCTGGTCATGCACGGCCGCAGCGGGGTCCTCGCCGAGAACGGAGCCGGCCACCACCAGGGTGATGACCATGATCGTGCTGAGGGCCTCGGACTGCGAGGCGCAGATGGGCAGGTCCGCTCCGGGCATCACCCGAGTGAAGACCAGCTTGGCCAGTCTCACGCTGGCGGAGGGGCCTCCGCTCACCTTGCACAGGCAGCGGTCCTCGCCGGCATCGAGCAGCCAATGCTCATCCACCGCTCGCTCCTCGACCGCGGTGGCCTTCGTGGCCGCGGAGAACAGCTCCGCCAGGAGGTCCCCCTCCGCACCCCGGGCCTCCTCCTTCTCCGGCAGAGACTTCGCGGCCAGCGACCGGGCGGCCGCGCTCTGACAGGCCGACTGCACGACCTGGTTCGCTGCCATGCCCAGCACCACCAGGCTGATGCGGTAGGGGATGTCCTCGTCCACCTCCGGCAGGTCGGACAGGTACGGTTTGCGGGCCTGACGCCAATCTCCTCGCCTGTTGCGCTTCTTCACCGACCAGGTGTCGGCCGTCCCTTCCGCGGAGCGGCCCGGCAGGGCGTCGCTGGTCGCCTTACGGGTCGGATGCCTCGAGCTCTGCGCCCACGATTGCTCTCCTGGCAGCCCGTCTGAGGCCACAACTTCGCACACGGCATCGTCATGTGCTGAGCACGCGGACGGAGACGCAGCAGCAATGTTGTCGCCTCCACATGACGTAGAGTTCGCGAACTTGGTGCTCGCAGGCGCATCAAAACGGTCGACATAATCGTCTGGTTCCCGTGGCAATCTTTTCGCTGATGCACAACCCATCAAGCTGTTTTACATACAGGCCGACCAGGTGCCCTACGACCCAGCGAGCCTCAAGCGCAAGAGGCCTCCTGGTCGCCCCCGTGCTGCGCCCCCGGCGCGTTGCCGCCACGCACTTGCAGCCACTGCGGTCTGGAGCCGAACCAGTTACGGAACACCTTGTTCGTCAATATTTGATGGCCCTACGGAGCCCCAAAGTTTCTTGTGGTTCCCCGGGGCCATCGGTGGGTAAGAAATTTCCATGGAGCACCAGCTGGCAGGCAGATTTCCTCTTGTTTGACGTGCGCACTGCACCTTCGAGCATGATTTGCATCTGGATGCACATCACATGCGCCGTCACAGCGTGTGCCTGCAGATGCAGCTTCATTACTGCAAGTTCGTGTCGTGACGACCCCGACGTTGGTTGCTGACACCGCGGGGATCGTTCAACTTTGAACGATCGGCCGTTCTCGAAACGTCCAAATCGTTCCATATCGAACGATTCTGGGTCGCCCGCGGCGTTCAAAGTTGAACGCCGCTGGCGGGGTCGCCGCCAGTCGACACGACACGAACCTACCGTAACTGTGTTTGCGCGCTGACTGCGCTTCTTGTTCCCAACCATCGTGTGGTGTTGGGTCCTCGTTTTGAAAAGACAACGCCCCGCGTTCCTCCTCCTCCCGCTGCCCCTTCCCTCCTCCTTTCATCATCATCATCATCATCATCATCATCATCATCATCATCATCATCATCATCATCATCATCATCATCATCATCATCATCATCATCGTCGTCGTCGTCGTCGTCGTCATCCATTTCAGCACACCCTCCCACGTTTCATGGCCCCATAGTGAGCTCCACCCAAGGTCCCAGTGGCGCAGTCCGCATGGCGGCTAAGGTCCCAGTGGCGCGGTCCGCACGGCGGCGCCGCCCTATCTTGGCACACCCCTCACACGCTTCGTGGTCCCATAGGGAGCTCCACCTAAGGTTCCAGTGGCGCAGTCCGTATGGCGGCGCCGCCTCATTTTGGCACACCCCTCACACGTTTCGTGGCCCCTGAAGGGGGCTCCACCCCAGGTCCCAGTGGCGCAGTCCGCATGGCGGCGCCGCGCCATTTTGGCACACCCCTCACACGTTTCGTGGCCCCATAGGGGGCTCCACCCCAGGTCCCAGTGGCGCAGTCCGAATGGTGGCGCCGCCCCATTTCGGCACACCCCTCACACGTTTCGTGGCCCCATAGGGAGCTCCACCCCAGGTCCCAGTGGCGCAGTCCGCATGGCGGCGCTGCCCCATTTTGGCACAACCCTCACACGCTTCGTGGTCCCAGAGGGAGCTACACGTAAGGTCCCAATGGCGCAGTCCGCATAGGCGGCGGCGCCGCCCCATTTCGGCACACCCCTGACACGCTTCGTGGCCCCACAGAGGGTTCCATCCCAGGCCCCAGTGGCGCAGTCCGCATGGCGGCGCCGCCCCATTTTGGCACACCCTTAACACATAAGGGGCTCCACCCCAGGTCACAGCGGCAGCGCTGGCATGGCGTCCCCGCCCCGTTTCGGCACATCCCTCACGCGCTTTGTGGCCCCATACAGGAGGCTCTACATCAGGCTCCTGCAGCAGCGCCAGCATGGCGGCACCGCCCCATTTTGGCATACTTTTCACGCACTCCGTGGCCACATAAGGAGATCCACCGAAGGCGATACTAACAACGACGGCTTTCACAACTGAATATGGTTGGGTCCTTCGCAAGGCTAATTTCCCCACCTTTGATGGGTTTGGGATAAAACCAGCGTGGCCGTTTCCCGCATTCCTCCCGCGGGCCTCCCTCCTCGCTCTTTTTCCCACCCCTCATTGGTTGGGTAGTCGTTTTGAATAGAGCACCGCTCGCGCGTCATTCCTTCCTTCCTCCCGGCTCCCCTCTCCTGGGCTGCGATCTGCGACATTGTCGCCACTTTCGATGGCTGTTGGTGGGTCCAGCGGGGTGAGGCACCGCGCAGACCTGAGCGGGACCTCGCCGCCCCTGGAGGGCTGCGATCTGCGACACTGTCGCCACTTTCGAGGGCTGCTGGTGGGTCCACCGGAGTGAGGCACCGCGCAGACCTGAACGGGACCTCGCCGACCCTGGGGGGCTGCGATCTGCGACACGGTCGACACGTTCGAAGGCTGTTGGTGGGTCTAGCGCAGCGAGGCACCGCGCAAACCTGAGCGGGACCTCGCCGTCCCTGGGGGGCTGCGGGCCTCAAGACTGCTGCTCGCAGAAGTATATGCGCCCATGTCTCGTCACCACCTCCGGATAGCGTTTCCCAAGCTACTCATGCCCCGCACTGCGCAGGGGTTGGGTACGTCGCCAAGGTATATGTTGTTTATCTCTCTCTCTCTCTCTCTTTCTTTCTCTCTCTCTCTCTCTCTCTTTCTCTCTCTGTCTATCCCTTTTCTCTCTCTCGTTCTCTCTCTCTCTCTCTCTCTCTCTCTCTCTTTCTTTCTCTCTCTCTCTCTCTCTCTTTCTCTCGGTCTGTCTCTCTCTCTCTCTCTCTGTCTCTTTCTCTCTCTCTCTCTCTCTCTCTCTCTCTCTAGATTTCCTTCTCTTTCTCTCTCATTCCTGGGGGGCTGCGACCTGCCCAACTTTTGCCAATTTCAAGGTTACTGGGGGGGGCAGCACAGCGACGCCATGCGCGGACTCAGATGGGGCCTGGCTATCGCTGGGGGGCTCCGAACTGCGAAACCGCCGCCACGTTCGAGGGCTGCTGGGGGGGAACGCACAGTGTCGCCACACGCGGAGTCAGTCTGGACCTAGGTGATGGGCAACCGCCACACGCGGACTCAGATTAGACCTCGCCGTCCTTGGGGGGCTGCGATATGCGCGCGCAGCTGTCGCCACTTTCGATGGCTGCTGGGAAGGCGAGCCCAGGGCCGCCATGCGCGGATCCCGACTCGACTTCGCCATCCATGGGGGGCCGCGATTTGGGACACCGTCGCCACATTCGAGGGCTGCCAGGGGGGGGCCATCACACCGACGCCATGCGCGGACGCAGGACAGACCTAGCCATCTCTGGGGGGGTTGCGATTTGCGAAAGCGTCGCCACTCTCGAAGGCTGCTGAGGGGGCCAGCATAACGATGCCGTACGCGGGCAGACTCTGGTTACACATCGCCACCCCGGGGGGGCTGCGATGTGCCAGAATTTCGCCACTTTCGAGGGCTGCGGGCGCGGCCAGCACAGTGAGGCCGCACGCGGACTCGGATGGGACCTCGCCATCCCTGGGCGGGCTGCGAGCGCGGCGGCGTCTCGTCGGGGTCGTCGGGACGAGACGCCGGGTGCAAAAACAAGGAAGACCAGTTCGGCCGGCGGCTGCACCTCTACGCGATGCTCTCCAGGGCCACGAGGGTCGACGATCTCCTGATGATTCGGGACCCGCGGCTGCAGTTCCTTTCTCGCGGGCCGCCCGCGGACCGCGCGGTGCGCCTGCATGCTTTTACCCCGCGCGCTGCAGTGTCGGGAAGAGGCCCAGCAGCTTGCAGAGCAGCTCGGCCCCGCGCGGTCATTGCACTGACTGTAACTGGATGTCGACGTGCCTCGAAACACAGGCTCCCTCCTCCTTCTGCTCTTCTCTCGTCGTCACTCCTTTCCTTCCTGCTGCCATGTCCTCTTGCTGCTGCCCCGCTGACGTTTCAAGCTCCCTGTCCGCGTCTCCTCTTAGTCCTCGCCCCTTTTTACCCCCGACCCACGGATCTAAATAATAACCTCCACCAAGCACCTGTCCATCGATCGGTGTCCTGCGAGCCGCGCACCTCGCGAGCCTCCCGAATAACTTTCGCAGGAAAAATACTTCCTCACCATCTAGAGCCTACAACGCAATTTCGGCCGCGTGTTGCGCTAGGGTTGGGTACGTCGCCAAGGTAATTCCACGGATGCTCCCAATCACAACCTCGCGTTCCCCAGAGCGTTTGCGCGGCGCCCGCCCACCCCGCACTTATCGTGGAAGACGCTGTCGGAGATGAGCGACTGCACGAACACCGGGTAGCCTCGGCGCTCCGAGACCAGCAGCCAGCGCAAGGACAAAAGAAAACTGCGAGAGAGAAATCGCACCAAGTCTTGCCAGAACGTGATTTGTCTCGAGGACGGCCCCTCAGAGGCAACTGAAAGAGCCGAACACACAAGTCTTAGATCAAGCCTCGAACCTCGAAGCTCGATCCGAGAGCGGTCACCACAAAAAGGTGCTCAAACCACAAAACTCCAAGGCGGCCCCAGGCGTTCCCACCCGACCCCTGTCCACCTCACTCGCGCTCTCTCTCTCTCTCTATATCTGTCTCTCGCTCTCTATACGTATCTGTTTCCGCCACCGTGCCTGCACCATGTAGACGCGTCAGGATGCCAGGTGCCGCTTTGCCCTAACACAAGACAGCTGCATGCATCACCCATGCTCCCGAGGCCACGGCCTCTCGTAAAACAAAAGATCCGAACTCCCGGCGCCAAGATCCATCGTAAAAACATGCGTCCACGTCCCGAACTTCCAAGACGGCCTGGCAAGCAACCAAGGCAACCAAGACGGCCGACGATGCCTCGAAGACAAACCAAGACGGCCCCAAGGCGGCCGAATAGGGCCTCAAGACGGCCCCAGATGCCTCCAAGGGGCCCACAAGGGCCCCAGGAAAACCCCCAACAAAACCCGAAGAAGCCAACATCATTGATGTCCCGTTGGTTCCTGTATGATGTTATATTTCTCCCTTTTCCGGGCTTCCGTCAGCTGAGGACGGCTCGAGAACCCTCCACGATGGCCCTCAGACGGCCCAAGAGGCCCCAGCAAGGGCCCAATGATGGCCCAAGAGGACCCCACGAGGGCCCAGGAGGCATCCAAGACGGACCCAAGACGGCCCAAGATGGCATTCCGTGGGACCCAAGACGGCAGTCGAAGGCCCTTTGGCTGCCTAAGAAGGCGCAGCGACGGACCCACGACGGCCCCCACGCATCTTCCACACGCCCACGAGGTCCTCAAGATGTTCCAAGAGTCCCAAGACGGCCTAAGAGGGCCCCACAACGGCCCAAGAAGGCCGCAAGGAGCCCCCATGACTGCCCGACAGGAGACGAAGACAGCCACAAGAAGGCCCAAATGAGTTTCCATGATAGCTCCTCCACTCGTTAAGACCAGAAGTGTCACATGTGACGGCCG